TTCTACTGCAAATCAGAGCTGGATCTACTGCCGATACCTTCCTGCAAATCAGAGCTGGATGGATGTCAAGCTAATGGGATTAATTCAAGGTTTGCTGCTGATGTTTTGGCTAGAAGCCCAAGGCCCATTCAGCCAAGCCCAGGGAGGGGAAACCACGAAGGATGCTTCCGGCTGCAGGGCTGCTAATGAGGGCTTGTGCTTATCTTGAAGGGAATCCTGCATAGAAATGACACAAGGTGTGCAGCAAATGGGAAACTGTCCTCTATAAACGTCTGGCAACAAACCAGATCAATTGTGTGGCAAAAGCCTGGCGTAGAAGCGCCCTCAGTGCGTTCGAAGATGAATTATTATTATTATAAATTATAAGAATATTGACTGGTATTATATAACAGATACAAGTTGTAACCAAAGACCTAAGTATCTGCTAAATGTTAGTGCAGTGTGTATACTGTTCCTAATACTGCTGTTATTTTAATATATATAGCTCTGATGGTGTGATTTCTGAGATCTTCAACTGCTTATAGTACTGTGTGGAACTTCTTGATAGGGTTCCCAAAGCTACAGGGACCGCCGAAGTGTGTTTCATACCACAAGCGAGATGTTTCGATGGCCAGGTCTGTGTACTTTGTTAGTTTTCCCAATTCTTTATTTTCAACTCTGGCATCCCCTGGAATTGCCATGTCAATGATCCAGGCATCTCTTTGTTCTATTACTACTGTGTCTGGTGTGTTATGTTCAAGGTGTCTGTCTGTTTAGATCCGGAAATCCCACAAGATCTTGACTTTCTTGTTTTCTGACACCTTCTCTACCTGATGTTCCCATGGGCTTTTGGCGGCTGGCAAGTGATATTTTTTGCATAATGACCTGTGCACTAATTTTGCCGCTCTATTATGTCTAATTTTGTAATGTTTGTGCAATGTATTCTCTAAGGCTTTATGGCTGGGATCTGATAGTTGTGGTTTTTCCGGGCTCTTTGGCCATGCTCTGAAGGTTGTCCTTCCTGATGTTTCGCCAGTCTCTGTGGCCGGCCTCTTCAGACGGAGTTTTGACTCCTGTCCTCTGAAGATGCCGGCCACAGAGACTGGCGAAACGTCAGGAAGAAAAACCTTACGAAAACGACCAAACAGCCTGGAAAACCTACAACAACCATATTTGTGCAATCTTTGGTCATTTGCAGATGAGGTGTGACCGTTTCATCTTTTTCTTGGCAGAGTTTGACATCTGCTGTCAGCACTGATTCTTTGGATCTTAGCTTTTATCACGTTGGTTGTTATTCTTATCATCATCATCATCATCATCCAACCTGAGCACATCAAACTCAGTTGACTTTGGAAGCTAAGCCTTGGACAGGAGACCTCCAGGAAAGACCAGCGATCCTCGGGCAGGGCTCGGAGAGAAAATCCTGGCTGAGACCCCAAACAACGGGCTCGGCCTCCGGTCAGAGTTGGCCATCCTGGGCCAGGTGAACCCAGGGTTTGGCTCAAGCAGAAGGCCGCTTTCTCGTTCTCTTTCTTCTGGAAGCCGGTCCAAACCAACAGAGGTTGTTCAGCTTTGTGGAGGCCTAGAAGTGAACCCCCCCCACGTTGTGTCCAAAGCAGCTGGGCATGATTTAGGCTTCTGTGACATTTCTGTATTCTGTCTCTCCCTCTGCACATGCTTATGATTACGATGCTGCTGCAAGGGAACTCAGGTTGAGAGAGAGAGAGAGAGAGAGAGAGAGAGAGAGAGTTGCATGGTTCCAGCTGGCACAAGAGCCTGGGTCATCCTAAACACCAGGGCAACGCTCTAACCACTCAACCCCCCCACCACCACCCCAAAGGTGGAAAACCAGTGATCCAAGGGGAACAATTCTGGGGGGAAGTTTCCTGGTTGCATTGTTAACCCCTTTCCCCAAAGGAAGGGAACTGGGTTCACTGTCCTGCTTTCATCCTCACCGCTGGGCTTGCTGGGCTGAATGGCCACATCTGTCTGTAAGAAGGAAAAACCACGCCTGGACACACCAGCATGCTTATGAAACATAGTTTTGTTTTAATCGTTTTTGGTTTAAAAAATAAAATAAAATCATACCATTGAAATGGAGCAGCTTCTGGAATTGAAAACAGAAAAAATTCCACACATGTTTCAAATCCACTCATTTCAACATATTTGGGAAAGGGGATGGCAGGGGAGAGAAGAATTGTCGGAGAACAAAAGGAGAGACCAAAAACGATGGGTTCCCCCCCAACCCTCTTCCCACTGCTCCTCCCCCCCCACCCAACCCCAAGGTTACCTTATGAAAAAATAAAGAAAGACTCTAAGATCCTTCCATGGGATTTTTAGTATCTTTTCCCAAAAAAATAAAAGGTTAGCATGAAAGTAACCGAGCAATTAAAAACCTCCCATGATGAGAGAGAAAAAGCTTGAGATTTGACACAGCCAGTGGGCGAAGGAAAGGAACGGGTGCCCTTTGAAAGGAACAAGGTGACACGTAGAACAAAACACACGAGCAACTCTCCGGATCTTCCCACTCAGCGCGAGAGTATTCCACGAAGGTAATTAGGGCTCCGAACAGAGGCTGTTTTTAGGACGGCCAACTGATCAGAAAGAGGGGAGAGACCATCTGGCGGCTGCGCTGTTGAAAGACGAGCAGGCAACCTTTACGCACAGCGTCTCTCTCCTCCTGCTGGCACCTCCCGATCACAGGGTCGGTTCTCATTTTGTAAGCCTCGCCTCTGCAAATTTGGGGGGGGGGATATCACCAAAGGTGACAGGACCCCCCCTTTCCCGGAATCTCTCCAGAAGCCAAAACGGGCTGCCATCCTAGGCCTTGGCGCAGAGGGCGCCGCGCGAGTCGGCAACCGCACTCCAACAGCACAAGGAAGCAAATCGGGAATCATCCTGCACCCCTTTCAAACACATTTTTTTCCTGTTTCAAAAACTGCATTCGCAAATGAAGGGTCAGGCTCTTTATTTTTAAGATCACAGTTCATGCAGAAAATAAAAATCCAGATAGACCCCAGGAACACTCAACAGCATTAAAGGTGTGTGTGTGTGGGTGTCTCCCAGCCTGAACACTCAACACCGATGGAAGACGACTGAACATCATGCTTTATTCAGGAGATGGCACGCGCACGGCTCCGGACTTGGGTGGCTTTGCCCCCAATGCACAAGGGATACACAAGGGATTCCCGTTGCCCCCCCCTCTCTTTCTCTCTCTTTCTGTCTCTCCCCCCAGGAAACCTTCCCACCACCACCAGTGGCAAGAAGACAGGTCTAGCACTTGGGAGGTCCCGTCCGGACATGCAACCGGCCTTTCCTAACTGCTGCTCCCGGTATTTCTCGTCCTCTCTGATTTCCTGCAAATATGAGACACACAAACACCCCCCTTGTCCTGCCCCGACCTTTTCTTTTTGAGGAGGGGAGGGCAAGTTCTCCACAACTTAATGCCCTTTCCTATGAATCCTGAACAGGGAAGATGCCACCCTATCTAACCGGCTGGGCACGTCTTCCGCCTCTTCCAGGGGAACTCTGCACGGGAGTGGCGGCCATTTTGCTCTGGAAGGGTCACCCTTCGGCTTTGCCTCGAGAAAGAAAAGGACCACGGACGCTCAGTGAAATTTCAGGCGAGGTGGAAAGAGGGATTTTTCCCACCCACTCCCCCCTGGCAAGATTCACATCTTTGCCCCTCGCCAAATATGAGAGGCTGCATCTCCTATCAGCCCCAGGTGCCCAGGCCGATGGGCTACGCTGGAGTAGGAAAGGCTGCCATAAACACGCCCGCACCCCATGTTTCACGCTCTTCTGCTCATGGCCTGATCTGACCTGCGACGCCCCCCCCCACCTCACAGCGTCACCCAGAACAGGCCGGGTTCTCGTGGCCGCAGCCCATGCAGGCTGGGGAAGCCTGTTGGTGGCTCAGAGCGGAAGCAAAGGGGACCCTTCTCCTCCCCCCCACCCCAAGATCACGCCACCTTCTCGACCACGACCAGGGCCTCCAAAATAGTGAATATCTGCGGAACAAGCAGGGCAACCAGGAACACAAACAGACAGCGGGGCAACTGAAACGGCAGGCTAAGACAATCAAAGCAACCTGGGCCAGGGAGACCCACCAGAGAAGCCAGGAGAGCCAATGTGGGGCCAAGCCTCTCTGGTGCCGGGTGGCTCCCGGGGCGGCAGATGAGCTGGGAAGATCCCTCCCAGGGAGGAGAGCAAAGGCAGCACTTCTGAGGGCCTGGGTAGGACGGGACCGCCACTTTCCCAAGGCCCACCCCCACCCCCACTTGTGTCTTAGAGCGGAAGACCAGCCCCTCGGCTCTCCCTGTGGAAGGAGGCGCACGGAGCCCTGCTTGTCCCAAGGGCCCCGTCCCAGAAGGGCCCCCCAGCCAGCCTGCCCTCTCAGCAGCTCCCCAGAACCGGGGGGGGGGACACACTTCCTGGCACCGGAGCCGGCTTGAGGGGTGGCTCCAGGAGCAGGTGGCCGAAAGAGGACGCTTTCCTGAGTCCGGAAGCGAAAGGAAAAGCGTAAAAATTGGGAGCCTGTGAGGAGTGCATGCAACGCCCAGGGCCCTCCTCCAGAGGGAGCCAACACCATTCTCATCATCCCCATCATCAGCCAAGCAGGAAAGGTAGCCCCTCACCATCACCTCCAAAGACGGTGAGCTCCCCATCCTCCAGACAGCGAACAACAACAGATCCTCATGGCCCCCCACACCCTGGAGGAGGGGAAGCCTTCCACACCTCGAGGGCCCCAGAAGACAATCTCCCGGAGAGAAGCCCACCAGCCAGGGCCAGCCAGGGCCCTTCAATGTCCACCCGGTCCTTCTCTGAGTCTCTTAAGACCTTTTCTGGCCCACCGGGCCACCCGCCCGAGGACTCCTCTCCTCCCAGTCCTGCTCCCCCCTCAAACCCCCAAAACCCTGACAGTGGAGAAAAGATCCCCCCCCCCCCAAAAACCACCCGGGCCTTGCAACGCGGGCACAC